ACTATTGCATATATCTAGAAAGCCACATCCAGATCACTCTCCGAGGTCAGTAGGAGATGGTAGTTAACGCCACCACTAACTCTACAAGTCCACCCTGGGATCTCACAGTTGAGCAGGTTCTTCCTGTCCCTGCTTAAGAAACAGCTGCAGGTCAGAGTCCCCTCAATTATTCAAACCGATCAGGCTCTACAGAGATCCCCAAGGACAGCAGAGCTATTGCTGCCTGCTATTTTGCTGGCGATGCATAAACCAGAATAAAAGCCAGTTACTTGTCCCAAGTCCTAGCAGACTCAGAGAGGTTAACTGTACAAAGCTAGGTCAAAACAGAGCAGCGCTACAGCCAACAGCTCATCTTGATATGCAGTAGGGGATATCTGCAGACAAAAGTGGAGCAAGAAATGGAGGTGGGGGGAACATTATCAAGCATTTTAACTGCTGCACATTAGGGCTTCAATTGTACAGTTAAAACTACTGCAAAGTTGCTCTGACTCAAGTGGGTTGTTTTGCTCTAGCGCAATCTGCAAGATCAGATTGTTTCACCTTTGCAAAAAGTTTCCAGATAACCATTAAAAAGAAGCCCTCAAAATTAATCATTTTGATTGTTCCCAATGGAAGAGAGGCCCATTCAACAGAGGTGCCTGTCAGTAACCCTTCTCTTCCTTTCTTCCCCCAGCAAGTTTTAGATATATTTTACAATTTGTCCACAGGGGCAGAGGTCTCCCCAGATATTACTTCCCCATAATAGTCCATGGGAGGCAATTCGGTTAACAGAGATTCAAATTAGCATGTCAAAATAGAGGAGTCGGGTCTCAATTACAACACTGCATAAATAGAAGAGATAGAGCAAGCCTGGCTTTTTAAATTCCACTGCTCACAGAACTAGTCATTTTCCTTTAAATTAAACGTTCAGTGAAGGTAGCTAGTCTTTGGTACAAACTCTCCTCCTCTTCTGGAGTAAACCTACACTTCACCAAGGCCACATTTGCAAGGGGAGGTCATGTACTGCAGTAGACCAATGACAGAGTTGGAAAAGGAGAGACCGCCTTTTGGGCTTGCACACCCAAAGCACATCTCTGCTGCAATACGGCACATTATGGTTGCCTGACGTTGCCCCAAATTGCACCAAAGGTTTCCCTAGCTCTCTATCTATAGTTGCACATTGAAAACCTATTTTGTGCCTCCATCATCTCTTTTCTTGGTTTAAAAATCCAGCACACCTTGAGTACAACATGGCAAGGTCAGCTCTCTGATAAATATTTTAAAATCAAAATAGCAAATGCCAGTGGCCAGACCCAGCAGGAGAAGCCAGCTTAGATTTGAATACTTTTTTTAAACCAACACTAAAGAATTTCTGAATCCAAGAATAATAATGCATTTAACATCAAGGTCCACTTTTTTTCTTTCCCCTCCAGCCTACAAGCTTCTCCATCATTAGGGAAAAAAAATTGCAAAAAAATTTCCCCTAAATAAGGAAGATTTCAGTAGTACAACATATATCATAAGCCTTATGTTCCTGCAGCCATAAATGCCAGGCAATTGGACCTCATTTTCTCCATAAACCTATCCCTCAAATTAAACAGTGTACAGTGGTCACTTCTCTTCCCTGGCTACTGCCACCTCAGGGAATCACAAAGCATGAAAGTGCCACTATTCCACTAGAAACTCCTGGGTTTGCCTCACTTTACACATTTGAATTGGTCCACTGCACTCAGGCTTGCCCTGGTCCCTGAGCACACATAAGTCACTGCAGTAAGCACCAGTAAATGAAAGTTTAACATCTGCATGACGCAGAGTTCAAAAGGCAAATGAACTCGGGGGGAAGGGGATTACAAGCAGCTAAGAAACGTGGTTTAGGGTACACAGCCTCTCTGTAAGTACAGCATTTTACTAATCCATGGAGGACAGCTTTGGAGACCAATTAAAACAGTTGCTGGAGCCAGCTGAGGCACCCTATTTTAAGGATACTCTCAAGACTCTTCTCTAGTCTCTGATGTGACAGGCAACGTGGGACCTGCTGCCCCAAGCACATTGACCATTACAGCTATGCAGAAGACCTGCTGAAACCCCAGAAGGGACACAATGCCCTCCCCATCCCTGCTACCCTGCAGGGCACTGTTAGGGATCCCCAAAGCCATGAAGCTCCAATAACACACATGGATGTGAAGGCACTTCCATGGCTGCTAAGGTTATACAAAGGACTAAGCACAGTTCTCCCCCACACAGTAAGGGTGGAAGATCCAGCACTCTTGGTAGCCTTTTACCTTACTTAATCTCCCTTACAGACATCATTCTGTTTGCAGACGCTCCGAGCATCCAGCCCAGCATCACCACACAAAGAGCAAGGAAGCTTCCTCCCTAGCTCAGCACACCTGCAGGAGGATCTCTGCAGTGCCACAGGGAAACTGCGGACAAATCAAAGCTGAATACCCAAAAGAGGTGCCTGAAGCCAGAGGATCTGCACTTTAAGAGCACAAGTTTAGTTTTCTGAAGTTTAGTTTGGGCGTACAGGCACTGCCTGTTAGAGCAGGACCACAGCAGATACAACAGAAAACTCTGCTGGAGGTCAGGAGCGCACAGGATACTTTCTAAGGAAGCTTCACACAGGGGGAGGTATCACTGAAAAGCAAGAAGAGTTTCAGTCCTGCCCATTAACAGTTGAAGTCCAGTAAGAATACAACCCTGACTACTCTAGAGAGTCTTAGTCCTGGCAAACCTCCAGATCAGGAAACTGCAGGCTCTCCAAAGCACTTTCAAATGGCTAGAGCTAGATTAGCCCTCCCTGCTTCTACCCCACTGCGCACAACTGCTTTGAGCGGTTTCTGAGCTCTATGTGTCCACAGTAGAAAAAGTTGGTAGGTTCTCGGCAACAAAAAATGTAGGTGGTTGGAGGCTGATTCTGCAGCAGTTCTACACCAGCAGAACTATCCATTCTAATGGAGGAGCTCTCAGTTTACACCAACGCAAGTGAAAAGGGAGAATTGGGAGGGCATGTCAAATGTTTAGGAGGAAGTGGAGGTTATAGGCCACGTTCAGCCTCACTGAGGAACAAATGCACCCAAGCTCCAGAGAGGATGGGGACCGCAAGGGAGGAAAAGCTTCACACACAAGCGCATAGGGAATGCATATGGGTGAAATATGGGCTCTTGCAAATAAAACAGAAACCACAGAGCTCCCCAAAGCAGACCTTGCTAGAAACCAGATATTATCTTTTTGATACTCATTAGACAGCAAGCAATAAAACCTATTAGTGAAAAATTCATCTCCCCTGCCCCTTGCCCTGGCCCTCCCCCACCACATGCCCTCCTGCTCTGATCCTCTCCCTCTTCTAGGATGGCTGCGATTTGTTCTGAGAAGCGACAGGTTTATAGGTTAGCCGACACCTTCTCTCTGTGGAATTTTAATTAACTTCTCCCATCGTCAATATGTTAAGGAGCAGGGTTCCCATTATACGAGGTCAGCAGCGTGTTTCAAGCCCTGCTATATCAGCCGTCAAATTGAAGAATTAATGACGTGGCTAATTGGCTCTAATTCTCCACACCCTCCCTTCCCAAAATATGGAGGGGTAAGGGGGGGGCAGTAGGGTAGGCTAGCAGGGGAGGCTGGTACAGTCCACAGCCTCATAAAAAAAAATGAGAGTGTACAATTTAAGCCCACTTGTTCATGGGGTAGCTGTTCCACTACCTCCCATTTATCACTCTGCAGGGAGGAAAGGGGGGATGGGGAGACAGTGAGTAAATATTGTGACAGAGAGCGTGCACAAGCGTGCACGCCAGGGAGAGGAACACTGTCCTGACAAGAGGCCACCTCAGTAGGTCATCACTTAGGAGTAGGAAGCAGCATGCCCCTGGGCTCTAACCAACCACTGTGCTAGAGTCAGAGCCTGTCTGCTAGAAAAGAGGCCCTTGCAGCCCAGAAGACAGCAAAGGGCTTCTATCTAACATCTTGCAGCAGCATTAATGCACATGGCACTTCTTCAGAAACACTATCTGTCTCAAACACTCAGAGCAATGGGACAAGGGAATGGCAAAATCATAGCAGGCCTCAAGGGTCATTTCCCCGATAATGCCATTAGCTCCGTACCACTAGGTTTCTCTGCCTGCAAAACAAGCTTGGAAATCTAATGAGGACAGCAGTTGTGGGAAGTATTTTGGTTTTGCACAAGCCCAAAATTCACTAGTTGCAGATATCACATGGACCACAACAACAGCTCTTCTTCCCCCCCTCTCTTGAGGAAGGCTGAGGAAGAATCTCTTGCATGCAGAAGACCAACTTAGCACCAATGAGCCAGACCTTTGCTAGCCAGTTGAAGATTTTAACAGCAAGAGTTTAAGTTTCTCAGATTTTCACTTCCTCAAGAACAGAAGCACTTTGAAAAACACCCTGGAAGACGCTGGTGTAGGTACTGCCCTTGCCTCCCATGCTGAAGTTGTAGTTGTAGCATTATGCCCATACTAGAAGCACAGGGCTACAGGCAGTAGAGGCTGGAAAATCCCATCCCTGAACTCCACTTCTATCTTTCCCAGTGCAGCATGCTCAATTCACCCAGAAAACTGAGCACTAACCACTTCACACAGCTCCAAGCTAGCTTCCGAAGCAAAAAAGCAGGGACTTTTTTTTCTTGGCATCTCTTCTGCCAGAGAATGAGAAAATAAGTTGACATCTTTTCAGTACAGAAAACCTCAAGAGGATCCAGCTCATTGCTTCTAATTAGCAAGGCAGAGTAAGTCAGAGTTTGCTCTGCAAGTACGAATGAACAGGTCCCACCTGGGACAGTAACAGGAGCACAGGGCCATTTTCACAGCAAGAGGAGACCACTCAACTGTTCTAGGGAACAAAGACCAC